TTAGGATCATAAAATGAATAACCCTTTTTACCCATTGGGTAGCCCACAAAAAGACAAACATCTGATCTTGGTCCCATCTTCTCAAGCTTTCCTCTCCGCACATGTGCAGGACACCCCCATATACGTAAATGTTGTGAACTAGGCTTACGCCCAGTCCACAATTCCTTAGGAGTGTTAGGAACTGCTTTAGATGGAGCTAAGTTCAGAATATAAATCGCCGTTTCCAGAGCACATCTCCAGAAGAATACTGGTAGACTTGAATAACTGATCATCGATCTTACCATGTCAAGTAATGTTCTATTCCTTCTTTCAGCGACACCATTTTGTTGTGGTGTGCCTAGTGCAGATGTCTGGGATATAATCCCATTTCCTCGTAAATGATCCTCGAATCCACTAGAGAGATATTCCCCTCCTCGATCTGATCAAAGAGTTTTTAGGCTTTTACCCGTTTGCCTTTCACTTTCTGCCTAAAACTCTTTGAATTAATCAAAAGCCTCAGACTTGCGATGCATAAGGTAAATATAGCCATACCTAGAGTAGTCATCTGTGAAAGTGGTGAAATACTCATATCCTCCTCTAGCCCTGATGTTCATAGGACCACATACATCTGTATGCACCAACTCTAGTACCTCTTTAGCTCTATGCTCCTTGGCCGTAAATGGCCTTTTGGTTATTTTACCCTCCAAGCAAGATTCGCAAACTGGAAATGGTTTAGCCACTAAAAAACCCAAATGCCTATCCTTAACCAGTCTTTGGATCCTATTTAGATTAATATGACCTAATCACAAATGCCAAAGATATGTAGAGTTATTTGAAGGAATCTTCCTTTTTGTGGTAATACACTCGATGTATCAATCATTTCAGTATCATACAAGGAGTGAGGTGTAGGAGTAATTAGATATAGACCGTCCACCAATGTACCAGAGCAAATAAACTTTCCATTTTTCTCTATCAAAACTTTTGAATCAAATAGTACTGAAAAACTAGATTTTGAAATAGCCGAAATAGAAATCAAGTTTCTTCTGCTTTCTGGTACATAAAGGCAAGCTTCTAATAATAAACTCCTACTATTTATTTTTAAAATAACCACTCCCACTGATACTACTGCTACCCTTACTTGTGAAGCAAGTTGAAGATAAATTTCCCCATCACTTAGCTTTCTGGTTTTCTGGAACCCTTGCAATGAATTGCAAACATGGTTAGTGACTCCAGAATCTACACACCAGGTATTTGTAGATCCTGCCACATAATATGTCTCAGTAACAAGTGAATGAAAAATATCTTCAGAATGTTTCTTAGCAAGATATACCAAATAATTCATTTTCTTGTGTCCCTCCTTGCCACAATGGAAACAATTCCCTTTGGACTTATCCTGTTTATTGCCCTTAACCTTAACAACCCCAACACTAGAATCAATTTCTTTGTGCTCCTGGATGTCATTAAGGCTAAACTCAGGAGGGCACTCTTGAGTGAGCACAGTATGAAGATTTTTCTTCCAGTTAACATAGTTCGACCTAGTTAATTTGTTGTCCTTAAGTATGGAAGTAAGCGGATTGAAAATATTCGACATCTGAAATATAAACATTCATGCATAAATAAAAGGGCATACATTCAGAAACAAAAATTAAACTTTAGTTTTCATATAGTCTCTCAGTGGGCCTCTTTAAACCATTGATGTAATGAAAACATCGGTAATCATAATCCATGTGGATATTCACTCGTTTCTCTCAGGGGGCAATAAGAACATGCCACTACCAAGAGATCATGTCATTACCTTGATCAGACGGAAACAATTGCTACCATATCCCACTGTCTAGGCATCTCATGCCAAATGAAATATGGCAACTGATTTATCTTTAGCCCCTAAGTGAAAATACCCCCTGAGGTGGAGCGTACTCCCACTTAGTCAAGTGTATACCATTGTCTAGAAGTAGTGCAATTGAATGAGGTCCGTCTCCTAATGGTGATCTTTCCCATCCGCCTGCTACTAGTTCTATCATGCGAGATCTATATCTAGTAACTAGTGAAACAAATACCCTCCGGAGGAGCACCCAAGATTGGTAGCGAGGTACTTGTTTCACCTTACAATAGATCGACAATGGAAGGCTGTGGAATTTAAGATTAATTCCCGCTCCCACTTAACTTTTGAAATTAGAATGTTTTAAATTCCATACATCCTATGCATAATATCATCATATTATAATATTAATTCTAATCTAAATAATATTGGAATCGATTTTAAAATTTCTTTTAGGCTCAATGAGCCTAATCTACTTGGGTCAACTTAGCTCAATTTCTTGAGCTTAACTATGGGATAATCCTACACTTTTCATAAAATTTAATTAAAAATAAAATATTTAATTTTCAGAAAATCAAAATTTTGAAAATATTTTGAAAAGTACTAATTTTCCCAAAACAACCCAAATAAATAATTCCAATTTTATTCAGTTTAAAATTAACTAAAACAAAACTAGAGCAATTCATGATTTAAGCATAAAACCATCACATGAATATAATCTTGCAAATAAAAATCATGTTGCACTATAAATAGTGTTAATCCCCTCTCATGGCCGGTTTAAAATCATCTCATGATCACCTTGTGCTTCCAAATTCCTCCATTGGAAGCCTTTGACTCTTATCTTGTTTGAATCATTTCTTGAACTCTTCAAGAACTTCAAACCTAAATTTAATAAATATAGTACAAGTTTTTATCATATACCCAATTTAGAGCTTACAAAAATTCTAAACAAAATAAAATAAAATAAACTTATTCGGCTAGAGAAAATCAATCTTATTAGATTAGCCCTTTAAAATACCGCAACTAATTAAATAATTACATCACATGTAATTAAATAATAAATTAAAACTTAGACCGGACCATGAGAGAGATTAAAATATCAACCTGCAATCAATCTCAAAATTTTCTTGGCACAAAACCGAAGTAGTGTAAATTATCAATTGAAAAGCATTCACCAGAAAAAAAATATATACCAGACCATTAACTAGGCAATCAAAAGATTATCTATTGAAAAACTTGGTGTAGTTGACTATGAATAGTGGTCTGCTGTGGATACTTATTTATATAAATATAGCTTTCTCCAAGATTTAAAGATAACCCACTATCACAAATCCCATTGATCTCGTAACTGTTTGCATATGAAATAAAACATACTTTATATGCACAGGATTCTTTTTCAATTGAGCATTCAAGTCAAATGGTTTTAAATCCTATTGATCTTTTGTAATATATATATATAACAATAACAAAAAGACAATACCCTATGGGCAGCATCCTTTCGCTACCAGCGGCTGCTCTCCGCAGTCACTCCGTCTCAATACAAACTTTAACAGTAGGTACACAGTACTCATATGGGATCTTTTCTAATATGAACACATCGAATTAATCATGCTAGATTTATTATGCTATCAAAATTAATTCCATGACTATGAATAGAATTAATCAAACATAGACATTTAACAATAAATCAAATCATCACTATGATTTAATGAAAATCACATGGGTTGCTCTGATACCAATTGAAAGTATAACGAAAGCATTTAAAAAATTTCAATAGCGTATCCACGTGATTTTTCAACAAATCAATAAATACTGTAAATGGATCTTATACGTTTGGACGATTGAATAATCGTTGTATTCGAAAACAATTTTCATTTTCTTCTTTGGCCTTGAAAACTAATGAGTCTTCATCTCTAAGACCCCAATGGTAGGTTTGTGGAACCTTTTTAACCTTTTTTCTCACTCTTTGTATATTATATCGTGTAATAGGAATTATTTTATATCGCAGCGTTACCAAATATATGACTTGAGAGAGTCGGTTCAAAGTCTAGGGCTAGAGATGAGGATCCAAAAGGATTTCCTTATCCTAGCTCCAATTGGATAGAGATAGAGTCTCATAACTTTATCATATCCAATTAATTACAATAAGCAGCACAATAGTATTGTAATTGCACTCTAGGATTTAGAAATTATGACAAAGCCCTGTCCACTAAATAATTACATATCAACCCCTCTACTACCGAATATCCATAAGTAGCCCTAGGAAAATATATACCGTCCCACCTAAGGCTTACTTATATTTTATATTCCTTGAGTAACCAATTTAATCTTTCTGATCACTGAATTAAATTTTTTATAAAAGGATTGTTCCAAATAAATATTTTTCTAAATAAATAATAGAAAAATAATTTAGTAAACATTTTACTAAAATACCCTGACCAGGTTCCAGTGATTAAACTTATTAAATTGTATCAAGGGAACATTCTAACTCTTATAAAAAGATCTCACATATTGGTAAGTCAAAGTGACTAGTACTGAAACTTGAGTTCACTAAATCTCTCAGGATTTAGAGCCTATTAATTTAGTAGATAAGAAACACACTAGAATGATGACAGTACATTGTATGGTGTGATCTTATGGTTATCCTGTTCAATGTACTCCAAGCACACTAACACACTACCTTAGAGTTAACTACCCCAATGGTCGAGACAAACTATCCTATATTATAGAGGTCAAGTGTGTTACAGTCTTACAGATAAAAGTGCCTAACTTTTATCACTGACTGCGAACCATGCCAAGGTGCAAGTAACCGGTGATTCCAAATCTCCTGCATGTAAATCTAATTTACACACTTAAGTCACCTATAATGCAATTTGAGGACTATAATGCATCTCATACAATTATATGTAAAGCCCAATACATGAATATCATATTTATTAATAAAATATCAAATAAATAATAAATAATTGGGTTGTAGAGCATATGATCCTAACACATGCTTTTGTGAAGTCACCATTTTTTGTATAATTTTTCACATGTTAAGCAAACAATCTTTTAATCAAAGAATTGAAGCTGAAGTACCTTCCTTTCTCGCTTTTCAGTTAATGTCTTAGTTCATTTAGCCAATACCAGTAAATGATTGGCTAGAGTTGTGTGGATGTAATCAATTCATCAAGAGTTGTGACAAAGATAAAAACCAGAATACTTGAAAAGCAAACGCAAATATTATAAGCCAATCTAGAACCACAAAGTACAAGTTATCACTCAACATTCAACATGACAAACTAATGATGCTTATTTTCAGTAAGTACTTAGAAATCAAGAAAAAAGCAAACAGTAACAATCACTCAATTGATCTCACTAAACAATAATAATCACACTGAATAGATCTCACCATGGACTTTATTGAGTAGGTGCTTCGAAGATTGTACTAAAATGATATTCCATTTGGCAGTTCACACGAGGGAATGGACGGTTTGAGCAGCAGACGGGTATCCAGAACTGGTAGAACTTGTGGCTTGGGATTGGGTCGGGTCAGAGGAATTTAAGGGTTTGGATTTATAAAACTTGAATGAATTGGCGAGCCAAGATCGAATGGAAGCACTACAAAACCGGGGAACTCCCTTTCCTGCTTGCTTGAGAGAGTACTTGATATTGTTCATGAGTGACATATAAAGAGGCAAATATGAGAGTACAAAGATGGTGGCAGGGAAGAAAGCAGCAGGGTATAAGACAATTCTTGTCCATTTTTTCTTCTTACGTATTGTTAGGACAATTGTTGCTGCAAACGCCATCATCATTGCTGATACAGATGAAATCAATAATGTAACTCCGAGCATAAGTTTTTGAGGAAGAGAATATTTGAAGTCCTTTAACATAAATGGCGACGTGAGGATGGAGAGAAATGTAATGACTGATGTCAAAGCAAATATAAGGGAGAGTACGTCAGCCATGGCAAAAATCAAAAAGAAAGGTTCATCGAGGAAAATGGGAAATCCAGTATGTTGATCTGGACCACCTGGTACTGTGTAGGGTGCAGCGAAGGCAACAGTAGCAATAAGCACAGCAACAATGGAGCAACTCTCAGCAGTGCGCTTCAGCCATTCTTTGGCTTCTTTACGAAGTGTTTCACTATTAGTAGCAAATAGTACTTCAGCACTCTTCCCATCAGAGTTGACGCACTTGGTGAAATGGGTCGTAGAGATTTTCTTCACACGCTGCATAAACATGGAAAGACATATATAACTTCGTTAATTTCAGTAAAATCACTGATTTGATTAAATTCTCAATTCTTCTTTAATAATCCCTTTGCAATTACATTAAAGCAAAGCAAAGTGCTTCGAGCTGTTGGATCATGGCCCTTTTCATCAAGGGATACACAAATGGCAAACCCAGTCTTTGATTCAACAGATTGAAGCCTCCTTCACAATGGCCATGTTTATGTGCCATATATGAAAAAGTATGTTATGAGTCATACCTCGACCACTGGGCCTCTCCCAAAAGGAAGGTGAGGAGTTTGAGCCCAAAGTGGGTATTCGTGGGTGTGTATTGAGAGTATTTGCCTAACCCAAAAAAATAAAAAAATAAAAAAAGAGTCGCACCTCAAACAAATGCAAGTCCTCCTGCAACTGCAGAGCAGGGTTTGGTTTGACTTTAGCTGCATGATCTCCTACCTTTATCCCAACCATATGCAGTATGGAATTCCCTCTATTGTCGGTCTTTCTTATGAGCCTTTTCATTGGAATCTTCATTTTCTCTACAAGATCAAAAATTTTCATTTGGCGATACTTGATAGCTACATGTAAGATAGTACGCCCATGATTATCAATGTGTTCAACTGCCTGAGGATATCTCTTGAGTGTCTCTTTAACAATCTCTATTATGCCTTCCTTAGTCGCCAAAAACAATGCAATTTCAGCAGCGTTTCCAGTCCTTGCGTAACTTGTTGGGGCAATTTGTACTTCGTCTACTTCTTGGCCATATTTGTGGGTCTTAAGCTTACCCCCGCCAATTACAGATTCAGTGGCCTTCCATGAGGTATCTTTTTTTATCAAGAACTTAGCAAGTCTCAAAGCAGATTCATACCTCTGTTTCTTCTTCTTAATTGCTTCACATAAGGGTATCCAGCAACATGATTCTATTTTACAATAATATTAAATCAGTAAAAGTTGCATACATATATAGAAACAAATTCGTAGAACTATTAAAAGATATATATATATATATTTGACTATGTTGAACCATCATAAAAACAAGTATTTAATCTAGATCGATCCATAGAAACAAATTCGTAGAACTATTAAAGAAAAAAAATGTTGGACTATGCTGAACCATCATAAAGACAGTATTTCTGTAAAGATCGATCCTAGAAGAACTCTTCCGAAGTCAAAACTAAAATAATTATCATATAATGACAATAATGCATGATGGAAGGCATGAAATGACAAATATGAAAGAATGAAAGGGCTTCCAAAATCAAATTTAAGAGAAACAATATTGTTATCTTGTCCGTACATCATCTTAACTGCTTCTGTCACAATAGTATCTTCAATTAGACCTTAGAAAATTCAATTCTTTTTGTAATATTTAGGATGTAACTAATAAGAAAAAAAATAAATAAAATAAAATAAAATAAAATAAAGGAAATGAATTGACAAATCAGAGGAAAAATAAATCAGATAAATGACATTTGTAGATTGCAACAACATGGTCCGAAATAAAATATAAGAAAAACAAGGGTGTGTAACTCTTTACCTTCTTCTGCCACATTGGTAGCAACAGCAGCCCCTGTAAAAACCCATTTTTTTGTGATATTTAGGACATAACTTAAAAAAAAAAAAAAAAAAAAATTTTGACAAATCAGAACAAAGATAAGCCAAATATATGGGAATTGTAGATTGCAAAAACTTAGCACCATACATAATTGCTGTAAAAGTGTGATTGAATATTAAAAAAGAGGTCTTTTTTTGGCACAGTTGACATGTAAGTATAACGATGATATTATCATATTATTGCTCAATTCTGTGTCAAGATCATGAATGAATAAAGAAGAAAAGTTCCAAGTTTAGATTGCGCTTTCATGACATTATCGGTAATGAAATGAACCTCATATGAAAAGAAGGAAATTATATGTGGCAAAGTCCGAGGAACCTGAGTTAGAAGGAAGGATCTTACAAGAGTAGATGAATCGCTTGATGGAACTTAGTTTAGTCCCACTTAGGAATGCTGATGGATTGCATGCAAGAAGCTGAAGAGCGGTCATCCCATCTCCATCTCGTACACCAGCTAAGTATTCATACTTTTCCACAATCAAAAGGGCCAAATCTGTTTCATGGTTCATAGCAAAGAGTTGAGTGAAAGCATGGAAAAGAAAAAAAATAAAATAAAATAAAATAGAGAAGGATTATCATCCCTCATTATCGTATTCCTAAGTGTTTTGTGTGACATTCCACAATAGATTATATAGTATGTATGAAAAATTATGTAGCAAGGCTAACTAATCATATATATATATATATATAAAGAAAAAAAATTTGCTTATTGGATAGATTATAAATTGTGAAGAAAATAGTTACGTGATTAAATATTGTATATCAGCTTTATTCTGCTCGTGTACTCACCAAAATGCTCGGTCAAGATGGACATGTGAAGTATAGTGCTTTTAACGCCACTCTGGTGAAAGGCTTTTTGGGCTTCTTCTGTGTCATCACTTCCAAATAATCTGTTGATTTCTTCATCTAGAAACTTGAACATACCCTTTTTGCCATACCGGGCTGCACGAAACAGAGCTGTCTCTCCATGCCCATTTCGCATGCCTAACAACTCTGGTGCTTTGAGTAACATGTCCTCTGCAGCCGGTAACATTTTGCTGGAAGTGGCTGCCTCGTGAAGTATAGTGTTTCCAATGTTGTTTGGACGGGTCATTTTGGAATAGTGACTTTCAGGCAACAATTCAAGTAAACTCTGTACCAAGTCGGTTTGTTCGGAGTAAGTGGCGATGTGTAGGACCGTGTCATTTTGTATGGTTACTATGTGTAATGGCCCCTCTTGATTTTTTTGACACAGTTGGATCACCTCGTTCTTATCTCCTCTCATTAGAGCTTCATACAGCTCCTTATTATAGTTATCCTCTTCATTATCAGTTATGGTAGCCATGAGAGAGAAGGCTTCAAAAGGGACAAGGTCTATGTTGAGTTAATGTGTGTGCTCGCATGCATATAAATAGGCAGACACCCCACAGGAATGTCAGTGAGCTCCAAATCGCTAGGCCTTTCAATTCTTAGGACACCAAGCACGCACTTTGGTTCAAAATGTGTAGTCTCTTAGTTTCCAATTGGAATTGGGCCATATCAGCAAGTGCAGTTCAGCTTGAATCTGTTTTGCTCATCAGGGTATTTATTCTCCGTTCATCACTAGAGAAAGTAGTGTCGGGGATTTCGTATCTTATGCTTTGTTAACCCTAAATAAATTGGTATCAACTTAGCTTAATAAATAACAAAGTGGAAAGGTAGCCTTTTTTTGGTACTGTCACGCTAATTCACTGACAATTCATGTCGCAGTATTGATACTCTTGAAAGGTGTTCGATTTGCTCATATGTCCCATTTCAGACTAAGTTCACACTACCCCATTCGCAAAAAAACTAGTGTAACATTACATTATTACAATTTAGTTTTAAAAGAAAACTTTTAAGCTGTGTATTTCATTTGCTCAAAGGACAGCATAAATTCGAGACTATTGTGAAAATAAAATATCAACAACACAGAAAATTATAATATGTAAAAAGCTCCAAAAACGTATATATGTCATGACTTTTGACGCATGGTATCTGTTTGTGAGTGCAAGCAAAGAAGAATATATACCATGATAAAGTGTATTTGCATATTGTTCTGGCACAATTAGGTACCTCAATGAACAGGAGGTAAGATTAGAAACAGAAACCTGGTGGAGATCAGAGAGATGGCTGTATACATCAGTAAAAGCTACTTTCCGGATTCGATCGGATAACTCAGACGTAATTGAATATTTAATCCAATAAGGTGTGTCGCAGGTTCGAATCCCCTTCTCTTAATTCCTAACTCTCCTTATCCCCATCTCCTAATTCATAACTCTCCTTAATTATGTCCGGATTTGTAAATAACCCTCTTAAATTATATTTTATATATAAAAAATACTTCATAAACTATCACATTTTATTATAAAATATTCTAATGTCTATTAAATGACTTTAGTATCTTTTCTCATTGAATAACAGTTAATCTATTTTTTCTATCGAATAAATTATGAAAAAAAAAAAAAAAAAAAAATCATACGAATTAAATGACATATTTTTCATTAAATTTGAATAAATTTATTTTAAAATAAAAATCTTAATTAGAAAATTTAAAAATAATTTAAGTAATTTTTTTATGAATATATTGCATGAAAAAAAAAAAAAATTTACTTAAGTAATTTATTAATTTTTTATGAAACTGTTCAAGAAACTGAATCAGACAATGAAAAAGAAGATCGATGAATTGTTGCTGCAATACCGAAAACAAGTTCGGGGCAACAAGGTACTTATCATTCTACAATGCCCTCCCTCAATATGCATTTATATTATATATATATTTTATCCTGGCAAGAATAACTGCTACAAATACAGCCATAAACACCGTAGAAAGGTAAACAAATCAAGAAGCAAAAAAAGAAAAAAAAATTGAAGAACAGACCTTTGATTTGTTGAGAAATAAGACAAAACACACTAACGAACCATCCAGGAAGAAGAGTAGTAACGAGAGTGACCCAAAGGTCTGGCCATCATCAAGACATATATCATATATGTAGACAACCAATACATTTATATTATGTAGACAACAACCCTTAACACTTTCATATTATACATGTATTTGTGTATGTATATTTGGCTAATAATTTATTTTCATTATTATAGGGATTTGATGTGGATGAATACCCGCTTTTATCATCTTCTGTACCTGTTATAATTATCCCAATTTCTAAGCTGCAAGAGAGCAAACGCCTATTAAAGCTTGTCAAAAAGCTCTCAAAATTAGCAATTCAGCAATACAATAGAGATCATGCATGTGTTTTTTTTGTTTAAATTATTTTTCATTTCCATTTCTTCTTTAGGTGAATATATTATATTCATATTTTCTTTTCCTAACCCTTATTTTCAATTGTAAAATCTCTTGTAGAAGGCAAATTATGACCTTGTGATGGCTCACAAGGCAAATTGTCAGCTTGCTGTTGGTTTTATTTATTATATTACTTTTGAGGTCAAGGATGTTGATGATGGTGAGTCTAAAATCTTTCAAGCTGAGGTGTTCGATAGAATTGAGAAGATTGACGTTGTCTTGTAGACCTAAACCTCCTACATAATTCATCAAGATATTCATTAATTAAATTAATACAATATTGATACTGTTCGGGACTCCGATAGTATTACAGTTGTTGCGTTCGTTTTGGTAACACGCTATTCAGCAATGAATAGACTGTACATAAGATTTAGTCACTAGTAAACCATACATAAGATTTAGTCAATAGTAGTAGTCCATGGAGAGAAAATTATGAAGATATTTGTGTCTAGTTTGTATATTTGTTTGCATTGTTTCTGCTCATACATGGTTTATGTAATAGGGGTTCCTATGAACAATTGTGCCTCTATCAACTATGGGGCACATAAAAGTACTTTTATAAGGGAATAATATCCTTATCGGATATATATACTTTTAAGATACTTAGCATTGTGGTACTTACCTTTTTAATAATACTTAATTTGCGTTATTAAATGCGCTTAGTTCGTTCAGCATTAAGCAGAATTGAGTTATCCAACTAACTGTTATTGACTTCTGAATTGCTCCATCAATTCCGTTTTGAATGAATTTAGATTTGAATTTACACATAAAAATCCTACATTTTAGTGCTTACTAAAAAACTGTACTTTGCAGTACTTAAACTCCTTCAACAAATCTGAACTCTACATCTGGTAAACAAATTATTTTCTTGGGTTTATTATCCATGAATTTGAGGCCCAAGTTAGAAGAGGAAAACATTTACCAACCAGGCAAAAATACACCAAGAGAGAAAAAAAATCATTCTCAAAAAATATTTATTTTTTCTTAGTTGATACTTATACACACACTTTCTACCCTTCTCGTCAAGGAATTGTTTCTACCCAAAAGTAGTCGTACCTTAGACCTGATCCTTCTTTAGAGACCACAGCCAAGTTCTTACCCACCTGAGCCAACCCCTTGGAATTTATCCGAGAAAGAATTGCTTGTGAGGCTCTTCCAATTAGAAGTATCTTGTATGAAAAGTTCAACCTGAAGACTACTGAATGTTAATTTTTGTAGCATTGATAAAGAGACAACTAGTCGTTTATTTATTTGGCCTATTTCTTATATCTAATGTGGCAAAAATGTATTAGTTAGGTAACTGGGGCTATTTATGCTAATGACTTCTACTTCACTGCTAAACGCTGTCTCTATTTTAGAAGGCTGAATTCCTAAGGCCCTGTTTGGGGCATGTTCCATCTTGTTCTATGCCCTTCCCTACAGTACAAATGGGCACTGTTGAGCAAACTTGGTTGTTTGGTATGGGCTGTATTGTGTCCAACAGTTGTAGAACAAATTCAGTTTTTGGGCCAACTTCCGGAACAAAAAAATCATGTTCCAAATTGTGCAAGGCCCACTTTTCACTGTAGAATGGAGAATAATAGCCCAACCGGTTGGAACACTGAGAACACAATATACTTGTTTGGTCCATCTTGTTCTAGGGTTCTCTCTACGACTGAGGCAATTCACAGTGTACCCTTGGGAGGTATTGAAGCTTTCCGAGATCTTGGGTTGAAATCGACACCATTGATGTAAATACGAAGCTTCTCGACAACGTCTTCTTCTCACCGGTGAGTTCCAAACATGCATCTTCTTCATTGAAACGAGTCTGCAAGTTCTGTCTAAATTTAGTCACATGTATAATCAAGATCGGGCTTGTCGGTGTTCCACTGTGTATGCAGATCTGAAGATAAACTTCCCCTTTGTGACCTCTGCGTTTTCCGGCGAACCAAGCTTCGCCGCTGCTCTCTGTACTCTCGGATTCACAGGCGATTCTCGGTCTATTTACCTTCATCGTCAACACCAAATGAGTTAATTTTTTGTTTGCTTGAAAAAAAAAATTAATTATGAAGACCTTGTTACCTGATTTGTTGAGGAATGCTCTCTTGTATCTCTATTTATGGTGCACTGTGGCTTCGCCGGACCATCAAACTGCCAAGCCTCTTATATCAAGCTTCTAACTTGCTTTGATTTTGTAATTTGTCTGTCAATTAAAATGTCCAGTAATGGGGATTTTGTGGTGGAATGTTCAAAAAATTCACAGTGGACTGAAGGAAAGGGTTTTGATTGCAACCCGGTGACACTGTTAGATCCTGTGTGCATTGTATATACATAGATACATATATACATACATAGATATATATATATACATATATATAGATATAGATATATAATTAATTATATATAGGCATAGCCACTGTGTGCATTTTTTTGTTAAATTGATGCATCTTTGTGGTCAATGATCCTGTGTGCAGGAAGAGTTGATATATATATATATGGATGTTGGCCATAGCACTGTTTGTTTATCTATATTGTTGGTTTGAATTGAAATTTCAGTATATCTACATAAGGAGATATTCTCTTTCCAATGATCATATGATATCATTTCAAAATTTCAAGAATTTCCTTTTGCTAATGAACTCTTTCGATCCTTATCTATCATAATGTAACTTCCAAGATTTAAGTGCTGTTTGGCTCTAAAACGTAAAATATTACCAACAAATCAATGTGAATGAAAGGTGACTAACAGGCATCGAAAAAATGACACGTGAAATCATATGAATATATTTATTGGTCTATTTTTAGTCGAATTGTTTAGTTGATACTTGAAAAAAGTTACCATTCTTAATTAGTGGACAAAACTATGTAATTAGATGGATATCAATGCTGACAATGTTTGCTGACAATGCTGACAGTGTTTGAAAAATTATATGGTTGGATGACATGCACCAACGTCTGCAAGTGGGTGGTCATGTGCAGGAAGAGTTGGAGGATGTAGTTGCTATTATGCAAGCTCAACAAAATCGGCAAAATTACATTGTTGTTGTTGTCTTACTATAACTATATTTTTGTTGTTTTTGCTCATGTTGTTGTTGTTTATTATTGTGGCTGTTGAGAAATGATGTAATATTGAAAGTTTAATTTTATTTCATGAACTTTTATTGGCATTGTTGACGAATGCTGTAATATTTTTGATACTCATGTACGTAATATATTAAAATTCATGAAACTATGATATATTGAAACTTTATTTCAGTTCCATATTTGGAATTTTTAATTTATTTTAATGGTTTTTATAATAAATTAAGATAAATGGAGGAACAATATGTTAAAATAATACAATCATTTTTTCTAACTTTATACTTAATAAAGTTAGCAAAAATGTATTGAAGAAAATATTATTTAAAAATATTTTTAATCCAACATATTTAATTATTTTATTTATCAAATTAATTTTAGTTACACTTTGGAACACCAAACATGTTTTGTTCTCACTGTTCTTAGAATAATATACATTACCAAACATGTTCTACCATATTTTTGTTCCATGATTCGGTAGAGCAAACTTGGAACACCAAACATGTTTTGTTCTCATTTCAGAACATCACACTACAAAACACTTGTTCGATTCTAAACTAGAGCAGTACACTATATCACACTACACTTCCCAAACGGGGCCTAAGATGCCAATCGGTTATAAACGTAAATTATGACTTTGTGGAGGTTCATAAAGTAAATCAAAAGGTTGTTGCCGGTTTAATTTATTATATTAAGATGATGATAGGTCTAAAATATTTCAAACTGAGGTAGTCAATGGAATTAAGAAGATCGAGGTTTTGCCCTGTAGACTTAAAACTCCCACATAATTCATCAAGGTAAAATTTATTCATTAATTTGATTGCAACATTGATATTACTGGACTTGGATTTACTACTAAATTATGAGACTCTGGCTTAGATGTTAATTTTTTAATGGTTGTGTCTATTTTAGAATGCTGAATTCCTAAATATTATTATCATTTTCTCCATTTTGCAGTTGCTCTTTGGGTAGAATGTTGCATTGGAGTAACAAAATCTGCAGGTGAATAGTTTGACCTACCACAGTTGAAGCTTAGATTCCAAGCAACCAATCGAATTTCACTGATTTCGCGAACTCAGTTTACTTTGAATCATTCATAAAATAAAATAAAATAAAAAATAAAAAGTTAGAAATAGTTATGATGTAAAAAAAGGGAAGAAATTTGCAAATAAAGGATAATTTTGTAACTTTTATTGGACAAGGAATTAATAATTTTATATTTTAATTGACATAAAATAATTTTAAAATAAATGAAAATGTATATTAATAAATAAAAAATTTAAACTAAGTTGCCATTAGGTTAATGAAGAAGAAGTGTCCTAACTCCCATATAATCCAACCCAAAAAATAATTTATCAATTTAAGATCATAAATCAAAGTCAAATTTTAAAATGGGTCGATATGAACTTCTTTTTGAAAAAATGGTCTCGAATCCAAGCTCAATCTAAATATAAAATGCTCATGACATAGATTACATATAATCCAAGATCCAAATTAAACCTAATCCAATTCAATATATTATAATTTGTCTGAATTAATCATAAATTTGTGAATTGATTAAAACTGTGTCCATAAGACCCAACTCGGACTTGGATTTAGAATTGAACATAAATCATTCCATAATTCGAGAATTCTATTCACAAATTCAATTTAAAAATACTCAATTATTTTTCATTTATTGAATTATGAACAAACATTTACCATAAATAACAATGATCAAATTGTACTTAATATAGAATAAAAAAATTAAAAATGTGCAATATTAAGAGAATAAAAGAATAATAACAAATCGTCACTTTATATTGATAATATCTGTTTCCTTATTTAAATATCAATACATTAAATATGTAGTCCAAGAGCGACGCCGACCTAATCGTCTAGTAGTGTTTAGGGTTTTGTTTTTCGTCTTCCAGTCTAACGTCCGAACATGGCTTCCCTTCTCATGTGTTTTTTCTCTATCTCTTTTAAACCACTAGTAATCTCTTCTAAACCACCACCAGAAAAGAAACATAAAACCGATATGGCTGTTGATGGTGAGAAAAAACAGTATGATGAAGAATCCGATGATGAATCTGATGATGATGGTGATTGGACATGCTATTTCGGGGGCAAATGTTATTGCAAGCCAGATGATCCTCTTATGCAAAAACTGATGTCGGGGGACATGG